TATTATTATTATTATTATTATTATTATGTGCAGTGCAGTGAAGTGTGGTGAAGTGGAGTTCGATGAAAGATTTCATGGTGAAATGTTCATGTGATTTTGTAACGTTTGTAGAGTTTGTATTCTTGTTAAGTTCTGCCACCAAGTTCTCACACTTAATTGCAGAATTATTAATAAATCTAATCTAATCTAAACAAAAAGTCTCTTGAAGCAATTCTGTCCAGTATACTTTAAAAACAAAACTATAATACTGAAGATGTGGAGGGAAGTTATGACTGTTAATTTATTAACATCAATCTTGCAATAATTATTATTTAATGAAAGTCTGCTCAGAGGGAAATCAGAAAGATATCTCATAAAAGAATACCACCAAACTCATTATTTATAACAATAATTTATTATTATTATTATTATTATTATTATTATTATTATTATTATTATTATTATTATTATTATTATTATTATTATTATTGAATCAGATTATTAAGCAAATAAGAAAGCCTTTATAAAAGTATGAAAAATGCCAATAAAACAAATCAGTGGTAAATTAATAATTATTGAAAATAATTAATAAAACATAATAAGATATAATTTTCTTATAATGACAAAAAATTGACTGTTGAGTAAATGCCCAAAGGGATCACCATTTGCCTAGAGGCAGGCGTTTACTCTTTCCGGTGTAGAGGCTGCAGTCTGTAGAAGAGTAACAAGGACAGAATAAGTGCTTTCTCTTTCTTCCAATTAAAATTAGTCACATACTCTTACTCCGAAGTCTGAAGGCACACGATCGTGGGCCGCTAGAAGTGGTAGAGATGCCAAAGGTATTTCATGTGTTGCCACATTGTCAAAATTATGAAGAATACCATCCAACTGTCTCCCATTTTTTCTTAATAAGAAATTGAATTTTTTCCATTTTACCTTATTAATTCTCAATTGATTAATTTCTTATGTCTTAGTCAGTGTTTGAGTCTATGTCAGTATTATTCAAACTGTGAGGCGTGTCTCCCTAGGGAGGTGCGACAGTTTCAAAGCTGAGGCCCAAGAATTTTGGATTTTCAGACATGACAGTAATCAAGAGAAAAAAATATACATCAAGAATGAATCTCCAAAATGATATATTTAGCTGTTATTAACAATTTAATTATAACGAGAGGCATGTGCATTTGTCACCGGAAGGGAGTCAAGCAGAAAGTTTGAAAACCACTGGTCTAAAGAATTGCCAAATTTCTCTTTTCATACTTCTAATATATGTTTGAATCTGTATACATTTTTTCTCCCAATATTCATTTTTAGCTATATACACCATCTTATTTACTAAAGCTTGTGCTTTATTATATAGTATTCTATCTGTATTCTAATAGATCTAGAGTTTAACCAAATTAATATATTTTGTCTTTTTATCTTTAATTCTTCAATTTCTTCTGATCAGTAATAAATATTATACTTCTGTTTTGTGCCTAACATGTCATAAGCTGTCCAAAAATTGACATTCAAAAATTAATTTGAAGCCATTTCTGGTGTTTTTGAAGGAGACAGACGAGTACTAATAAATTGTGAATTGTTGAAAACCTGTTTTTTTAACTATGATTTTAAAGCCTATTAATCTTCAGTTTTTTTCTCCAGTTTCAGTACTGTCCTTTTGTTGATGATATATTTTCTTTGCCTTATTTAAATCTGTTTGTTATAGACTGCATCTTTTATTACCGATATGAAGAATATTGGCTTAAAACTGGGATTACAATTCAGTGAGAGAAAAGATGGCAAGCTTCCACCTGCTTCACTGCAAACTTTCATTGCTGAGGGAGGTAGTGCTCCAGTTCCAGGAGTCATTATAGCTGACTACTACAAGTCTTTCACTACAAAGTAAGGCCAAAGTGTTTGAGTCTCTCATATTATTAGCATGTATTAAAATAATTTAACTTCTCGAAAAGAAGTTGATCTTGTGTTGGGAATAACTTTACTATTAATTACTGTACTTCATGACCTGTGAGGTTGATGCACAAGTGGGGAGACCGTTTGTTCTTGTTTTCTGCGGCTGGTCTCCAGAGTTCGGCACCTTCATCTGTTTGTGAACATCCTAACTCCCTAAATTCAAGATTCTTCATCGAAAAAAAATTATAATTGACAAAATGAGAAAAATCATTGTACATTCTAAAATCAGTTTTCAGTATTTTTTTTTCTGAACCATATTTTTCTTGTGTCATAATCATGTATAAAAGTGTAAACTATTTACCATTTTTAATTATTCCAATTAATCTTTATTTCTAGAGAGGGAGGGAGGGAGGGAGAGTCGTGGTTATATAGACAAATTGTCATGGAAAAATGTGGAGCAGTTTTGAAGAAGAAAAAATGTTTCAGATTCTGAAAATTTTCAAATTTGAGTTCATTATCACACAAAATGTTTGAGTTTTTAAGAAACATCATAACAAATTATCATAAGTCCTTGAGGTCACAAATGCAATAATAAATAAAATGCTTGCATTAATGCCTTAAAAAATATTTTTAAAATATCCCATTTTTGTAAATTTTGAAAAATCAAAAGAATACATCAAAAAAGTATTCATGTAATTTTATTCAGTGCATTTGTCACTAATCTTACAAAGGTTTAAAGGAACTAATGGTGCTACAACACATACTTTCTCACTATGTGTAATAAATACCTAACATACTTCTGCATGAAAATAAAAAAGTGTTTCTAAATAGCAAGAAAATGTTCTCGGGTTGGTATTTGAACTCGGGTCCTTGGCTTTAATACGTCAGTCAAGACACCACTAGACTCACTACTAAACTCTACCTTAATGTCGCTTAAAAAAATTGAAGATTTTCAATTTTGAAAAATTCACTTTTTAATTTACATCATTACTAGATGTAGTTTTAGGGAATAGATTTCATTGAGGAAAAAATCTTTACCATCAATATTATAAATGTATGATGTTGATGGTTTTGTTTTTAATTTT